ACTTACTCGAACCGTCCTGACCGTGTAGCTCAGTTGGAAGAGCATTGGGCTAGTATTCCAAAGGTTGTAGGTTCGAATCCCACCGTGGCGGGGCATATTTTTCAAGCTCGCCCGGTGTGGATATGCACTCAGAGTAACACCACAAATATCATATTCACCTGAGTACACTACACCAACACAGAAAAAAAATCATTCTAAGAATGTTATTGTTGTGGCAAATTCATTGGAAGAACTGACAGGTTTAAAAATTTGGTGTTTTACCGCGAAAAATTGTAAACAAACGTGCTAATTTACATATACTCTCCCTTCTACTAATAAACAGGGTACACTGATGTGGGGTATTTGAACAGGAAGCAAAGAAATAACCGGGGTATTTTGATGAGTTTGACCAGCGCGGATTTCTGAAATACGGGATGTTTGACAAAATATTTCAACAAAAATTCAAATCCCCTATTGTCGCCCGCCCTCCCCCCCCCCTCGGGCTTAACATTGATAGGTGCATTAATATAGCGAACTACATTTTGCCTAAAAGTAGCAAGTAGTTGACTACTTTTCAAACGGCGAATCGCTATTCGCTACTTTTTAAAATTGTTAGTAACTTGATAGAATAGCATGATATTGAGACTCGGTCTGCTTAAAATCAATACTCAACAGTCAATTTGCACACCTGAACACTGTAGTGCTTACAAAAACGTTGCTTTGTGTTCACTGTTGTCTGTTGCTACTCGTAAGTCGATTTGTTATAGGTCATATTATAGCCTGAGTTAATAGTAGATGCTCCAAATACAGTAAAACTAAAAATATATAGATAGCGAAATAGTTCGCTACATTTTTTAAGCAGTAGCTGTAGTCAGTAACGAACTACTTTTGTTCAAAAGTAGCAGTAGTTGTAGCTGACTACATATTTTTGAAGTAGCTGTAGTTATAGCGAACTACAAAACTAGTCAACCCACCCTTGATTTAAACCAATTTAACCCTTCTAAACTGATTCAAATACAAGCCATTCAACCTTGGCATTGACCGCCATTTTTACGACATACTTACAATGACTACATCTTTGCCGCTCAATTCTGTCGGCACGATATGTTCCAACGCTTCTTTTAACCCGATATTCTCTTTGGTAACTGCATCAAAATCTTTTCTTGAAATGCCAGGATTGACTACATCGATACCTGAAGTCGTTTGGGGACCAATTCCAAGCTTCTTGTTCAAAATCGCGATCCTTGCTTCTGCCCGCTTCAAAGCAGTTTCATAATTGTCCGCCTTTGTCTGCCAACTCTGCCGTTTTTCTTCCAGTTCGCTGCATATTCTTGTTAAGTCCTCTACTCCTTTTAACCGTTCATTTTTGCCCTGAATTTCTCGGTGTTGAACAGCGATAATTCGTTTGAGATCATCAATTTGTATATCAGCTGCACTTAATTTATGTTTTGTCGCCATTGTCACTTACATTTATAATGAACGTCAAATGTTCCAATGAATAGACCCATTGCACTGACGTCACAAATCCTTAGAGTGTCCTCCAGATCACCAGATGCCCCCTAACAATATCTGTTCTACAACAACTACATACAGCGCAAAAATTAACCATTTTAATACAAAATTATTATAAAGTTTTACAAAATTTGCTTTGTTTACAAAAGTTATATTATGCATAAATTATTAATTTGTCCTCCAGATGCATCACCGGCGTTAAGGTCATGTGCAATGGGCCTATTGCGTACATTTTAAACGCGCCTGGATCGCAGGCTTTTTCGAGCGTGAATTTTGCTGCATAAAAATTTTTAACCCGGTAGACATGGCTTCTCCAAAATTTGCATACCTCTGGGCTCAAAATTGCGGGAACCTCTAAAAAATATTCCAACTCAAAAATGAACAAGAGTGAAAATGTACTCCAAAAAGTGGGCGAGGTTGGTGGGTGGGGAGGGGCAAAGCCGGCCAACAGACGTAAGTTATTATAGATTATATTAGAAATGTGTATCCTCCAGGATTCACACCCTTGTCCCTTGAAAATGAAGTTACCTTGAAAAATTTCCAGCTATCGTCGACATGGAGGTGGTGGTTATATGATACGGATATTAAATGGAAGACTACATCAGCTAAACGATGTAATACAATCGTGTGAAAATAAAATGTTTTAGCGTCAATAGGATATTTATTCTAGAGAGTCAATATCACAAGTTGTGTTTTTCAGAAGGTTCATTGAAATACAAAGTTTATAAATTAATAGGCATGTGGGATATACGCATATATTTATGAATTGTCTTTGCGGCTTTATTCTGAAGAATTTGCCGTTGGTCCATGGTGGCATGAGCGTTCTTTGTCAGTGCCTATAGTTATAGTTATAGAATATAGTTGAATTTTTAGAAAATAAACTGATCCCAACCCCAAACCCTTCCCTAACCCTACAACCAGTAAATGTCTAATAAACAATGTCAGGCAAATAACAGTCGTTAAAACCTCGTTTCAAAACGAAACCGCGACCCAACATCTTTTCACTTCATTTCACTTCAGTTCACTTCACTTAACGAATACGCTACCGCAAGTTAGCTGAATAGTGAATACAATCTCAAATAACCTTTTTACAGTACTACATAACTAGAAATGTAGTAAACCGGGCACCGACAAAGAACGCCCGGGATGTAGTAAGACTAGTAAAATCCTTGGTCTACTCGGGGAGGTGTTATTCTTGTCACTCCATGTCTGCGCAGTCAAAAAGTGAAAGGATGAAGACATTGTAGATGGAAATCAAGCTTTCACTGGGATGAAGACTTTAACTCTTCTTAACAAATCCAATACGTTGGTTGATTTTCGTTGATATGTTGTGTAAAATTGATCACACCAAGTGAGATTTTCTGAACAGGATATTCCTAAATATTTAAAAGTGCAATCTCGAGCAAGTTGATGCTCGTTGTCCGTTGACAAATATGGAAATGTTAGTAAATGCTTTCATGAGACAACTGCTACTACCAAAAAGGACAAAAAGGAACTTGAATTTTGCATAGTTTAGTGTTTATAGCAGATTCTCATCCAGTCATAAGTAAATCAAATTAAGGTCGTCATTAATGTATTTCTCAATTTCTCCGACAGAATTGGTGAAGTAATACTGTATAGGAGAGTATCATAGCCATAAAAGAGTAGATAGAACGAAGGGATTTTTCAGGAATTGTATCCCCATCAATCCACACGTTAGCCTGTGTTCCAGTCCACTACAACGGTGTAGTGGACTGGAACACAGGCTATCCACACGTCTATTCAGTATTATCAGTGGTATTATTCGTCCATTGTAAATCAACTAATGAGATCACACTATGGAGATCAAATATGACGCTGATATATTTTGCCTGAATACTATCGTTTCTTCGCTTTCTTTTATTGCGAATTTAAACTCTTTGACGATTTTCTTATAGAGTTATACATGAGCATTCTTGACGGCTATACCGATTTTATTCGTGAGCAATACGTTAAAAGGCAAAGAATCAAAGGCTGACATCGGGTGTAAACAAGCAGAGCCTGCTACTTTTGATTATTTCGCTGACCTCAGAATGACATTTCGTCAAAACTTTTTTCCTCAAGATTGGTTTAGAAACAAACTAGGAGTAGGATTAGGCTAGGTTTAGGATCTGGGTTAGAGTTTGGAATAGGGTTACTATTAGTAAAACCGTTGCTTTGTTTATACGTTTTGTCACTCTGAGGCCAGCGAAATAACCTTGTAAGGAGTAGCCTGGGACCGAGGTTGAGCCTGCGCCACCTGCATGTGGCACTTCGTATTATATTACACTCAATTGGAAATCAACCAATGAAATCACTCCATGCTATAATTAACATAATTCTAAAAGCATAATTCTGCAACAGTAAACCGCGTGCAGCTATATACCTTCACGAGAAAGTAGGGCCTGATATTTTCTGTGTTGGTGTAATGTTACTCAGGTGAATACGATGCTTGTGATGTTACTCTGAGTGTATATCCACACCGGGCAAGCTTGAAAAATATGCCTGGCCACGGTGGGAATCGAAGCTACGACCTTTGGAATACTAGCCCAATGCTCTGCCAACTGAGCTACGCGGTCAGGTCGGTTCGGTTCGAGTATGTGATATTTCGGAAAAGAGTCTAGTTCCTTCGATATTAATGTAATCTAGTGATCATGATATTTTCTGTGTTGATGTAATGTTACTCAGGTGAATAAGATGTTTGTGATGTTACTCTGAGTGTATATCCACACCGGGCAAGCTTGAAAAATATGCCTGGCCACGGTGGGAATCGAAGCTACGACCTTTGGAATACTAGCCCAATGCTCTGCCAACTGAGCTACGCGGTCAGGTCGGTTCGGTTCGAGTATGTGATATTTCGGAAAAGAGTCTAGTTCCTTCGATATTAATGTAATCTAGTGATCATGATATTTTCTGTGTTGATGTAATGTTACTCAGGTGAATAAGATGTTTGTGATGTTACTCTGAGTGTATATCCACACCGGGCAAGCTTGAAAAATATGCCTGGCCACGGTGGGAATCGAAGCTACGACCTTTGGAATACTAGCCCAATGCTCTGCCAACTGAGCTACGCGGTCAGGTCGGTTCGGTTCGAGTATGTGATATTTCGGAAAAGAGTCTAGTTCCTTCGATATTAATGTAATCTAGTGATCATGATATTTTCTGTGTTGATGTAATGTTACTCAGGTGAATAAGATGTTTGTGATGTTACTCTGAGTGTATATCCACACCGGGCAAGCTTGAAAAATATGCCTGGCCACGGTGGGAATCGAAGCTACGACCTTTGGAATACTAGCCCAATGCTCTGCCAACTGAGCTACGCGGTCAGGTCGTATGTGATATTTCTGAACAGAGTCTAGTTCCTTCGATGTCAATGTAATCTAGTAATCATGATATTTTCTGTGTCGGTGTAATGTACTCAGGTGAATATGATGTTTGTGATGTTACTCTGAGTGTATATCCACACCGGGCAGGCTTGAAAGATATGCCTGGCCACGGTGGGAATCGTACCTACGACCTTTGGAATACTAGACCTAGGGACTGCCGACAGCAATCAAGAAACGAAATACGCGTTGTCCACACAACGCAAAATTTCCATCGATATGCCTGTCTCAAATCTGATATTGAATGTTGATTTTATAAATAGACACGACAGGCTTAAATGACGGTTCCTATTGGACAGATTTCATTGGACTATGTTTATGTTTATTTGCAGTGATAGCCTGCTCGCAGCCCGAAATTAAATCCCTAAATTCTACAACAGTAACTCCGAAATGTTTATATTCGACGTTTCGACAGCAGAAAATCGAAACGTCGAAGAAACACTTTAACAATAGCACTAATGAATATACGGGGCATTGGCCATTGCACAGTAAACGTCGATTTACACTGCACAACTTTGCCTAAAACTGTCACATGCAACCTGCTTACAACTTGAGTTGTACCGTGTAAATCAAGCACATAACTTGCCTACGTTGTCGTAGGTAAGTTATGTGCTTGATTTACACAGTACAACTCAAGTTGTAAGGGAGTTGCGTGCGACAGTTTTAGGCAAAGTTGTGTAGTGTAAATCGACCTTTGGCTTTGGCTAATTGATCAACCGAAGACGTTGAGATTTTGTCCTCGCGAGGTGAAAAATATCAAACACGATAGATATTTTCCTCAATTCTTCACGAAAACTACCGCACACGAAAAAAAGTTGCTGATCTAGCTGCCACACAAAACGGTTAGCTCAGCAAGTTGCTCTCGTGTGCGGCAGACTGTACAGTAATGAATATTCGTATGGAATAATTTAGCTAAGATATTCGATCAAAATACAATAATCTTCCCAGTACCAGGGTTGTCAATAGAGGCCGGTTACCGCTGACCGCCAGCTATAATCTACAGGTAGTTTAAGAGTAGACCGGAAAAACAAACGGCGTTGCAGCTAGACCTCGAAAAACTGTTAACCCTAGTCTGTTTAATATTCACTGTATTTGTCACCGTCTAGCACTGGCGTGTACAAGTGCTAATGATAGCCTCTCGTATCCGGTTACAGTGGAGAGAAGTCTGTTGCAGCTGTCACAGAATAAAGATCCATACAGAAGGGCCACTTACATACTTGGAAGCTTTGAAGTTTCTGTCCTCACCAACATTACGCATGATTACGCATGTTGGTCGCCATTTTCCTAGCCTGTCAATGACATTTTCTCGCCAATAAACACGCTGTACTGGCTGGCTGCACCACTTTCTGGCCAGTAAACCGCATATTTTTGCATAAAAAAAAAACGAGGACACGTTGCACCGCTGAGTGGTGGCCCTTCTGTTACTGATCTTTATTCTGTGCAGCTGTGGAAATACTTTGATAACTCTGCTAAAAGAGCTGCTGCATGTCAAAGCTGTTATGAACCTGAATAAGGTCCAAGTCAGAACAAAAAAGGAAATGAAAAGGCTCAGAAAAAGGTTCAAGAACGCCTGCTGAACCCGTTGACTTTTGACTGAGCAGTCAATTGGCAGTGTGTTTGAGGATTATGAAGCTCTTTTGCAGACATTCGTTCGAATTTTCAAAGAGGATGGGGATGCTACAGCTACTGGGTTGCTCACACAAGTAAGAAATATCAAATTTCTTGGAGCTGTATATATTTTACACAAAACTCTTCCAGAGCCATCTAACTTAAGTAACGCTTTTCAGACAGGAGCTGTTTCTTTTGCTGCAGTTTCTCCTACAGTTGACTATACTCTAGATGAACTGGAAAATGTGGCAAACAATTTCAGCTTTATTTCAGATCTGAAAAACGACCTCAAGGAAGATGGCAGGCTGAGCAGATGTGATTTGGGTGTCTTTAGAAGAGTTACTCTGCGAGTGGAGAAAGTTTAAGTATAATTTTCTTAATCTGTAGAAAGAAGTTCCTCCAGAGCTTTCCAGGCCACATCTTTGTCCTAGTCTTCTACAGTTGGCAGAGGTATGTCTTACCCTTCCTGTCAGCAATGCATGGCCTGAGAGAGCTGCTTCAGCAATAAAAAGATTAAAAACTCGACAACGATCAAATTTGAAGAATGACATGCTTAGGTCTTTGCTTCATATAACAGTCAACGGGCCTGATAGTAGTGACTGTCATCATGTGATAGAAGAAGCAATGAAAGAGTGGCTGTCCAAACCAAGAAGAAAGATTTCTAAGTATACAGACAAACAGAAAGAAGTTGCCAAACATGTAACAGTAGATAATGCTTCTGTTCAAGTTGAGTCACAATCTGATTTGGAAAGAATTCATTCAGCATATATGAACACGCTGAAGAGGATCTTCAAGAAGATGTGACAAGTATTGCTGAAGTTGAAAATATAGCAGCAGCTATAAGTTACCATGTCTATCAGCATCTGACAATGACTCAGAGGATTCAGACTGTTACACAGACAGCGATCTGAAATAGACTAGACTAGAGATAAATCGAAAATCTCGAGTACACCAACACTAACAGACCACTGCACTTCCAATAGTGCTAAGTCTGAGTATTATTAATTTAGTATAGTGCTGTACCAGTGCTGAGCACACTGAACACAACTACCAGTACACGTGTATCAATCAAAACAATTTTCAAAATGGCTGAAAATACCGTTTCAAGGGTACAAGTCTCAAACGTGTTGCAGGGGAGCATGTTCCATGGTTCCCCCGCTCCCCTACTAAATTAGTGCCACATTTGGACATAACCGTCTACCTCTTTCCTACAGCCACCTACTCTATATCTTAATGACAACCCTGAGTACCGGGTACCAAATACGCAAACTTTTAATTTGTATGAGAGCATGTTCATTTGTAGCAAAGCATGCATTTTTGCTAGATTCACTGCATTTAAACACATAGTGTAAAAGGCACGAAATTTAAATTTTATCGAACTATCAATATTCAAATTAACACTACTTCAAAACCCAGACAACTTGACTGTCAATAAACTTTGATAAAATCTAATTTCTGTAACAATCGCCGTTTTGATTCGTTGCTAGTTTTGTGCATCCAAATCACTGTGGATTTCAAGGGAAAGGTCAGCCTAGACCTAGGCCTTTACTCGGCTGGCTTCGGCAGGTTTGGTCAATTTCGCGCTAGCATTTGGTAAGTATCGCCATGGTATTTTTCTAGACGTGCATTGTGTATACATATAAAAATAGTAAGTTTATACTATAAATGAGTTCATTTTACCTGTATCGGTTTAAATTAGCTGTTAAGTTGCAAATAATTCAGTTTGAGAATGCAATAATTGGGCATATCAAGTGGAGCAAATTCGGGGCAGTTTTTGGCAGTTGGATTGGTCTTCTCATGTGAAAAAGCGCTGAATATTAAAAAAATAAAATAGAAGGCCTAGGTCTAAGCTAGGGAAAGGTTAGTTCGCTGTCCTCAGAATTACATTTCGTCAAAACTTTTTTCTTCAAGGTTGGTCCAGAACCAAACTTGGAGTAGGGTTAGGTTAGAGTTGGTGTTTGGAATAGAGTTAGTAAAACTGTTGGTTTGTTACGTTTTGTCACTCTAAGGCCAGCAAAATAACCTCTTCCATATTTCAAGGAGCCTGACACACAGGTATGCACCTTTGCCATGAGTATGCACAGAACACTTACTATAGCACTAATAGGGGCCTATGATACTAAAAGCCTAAATAGGTGTGTCATAAGGTCTCTACCTCATATGTAAAATTTACATTGCTAAATGACACTGTATGTTATAATTTAATGGCAAACAAATGCACCTATTATGCATTTACATAACCAGGGGGGGGGCAACCCTGGGGAATTTTACAGCTATAATTCATGCCCCAGTGGTGAGCGTTTGATGACGAATTGCAGACTGATGGCTGGGCCACAAAATAGCGACACACAGAAGGTCAACATCTTGGTTTTGCCCCAGGAAATTTCAGTTTGCCGCTCAGCTCCAGCGGCTCTGGGTACTAGGCAGTGGCGTAGCCAAAGGGGGGCAACTGCCCCCCCCCCCAATCGCAAAAAAAAATTCTCTGAAAAAGGCTAAATCCGTAGAGAAATTGGGGGGGGGGGGG